TGTCTCAGCTGAACCCAGGACAGTAGGTTATGAGCTCAAATGTGTCAGAGATGACAGTTGACTGATAGTTGTATTTGGGCAGCAGTTGTTAAGGAACAGGGCTCTCTTTTACTGAAGCTTCTCTGCAGTGACATCCTTCACCTCCTGACAGCCATGAGGAGGCTAGAAACTGAATTGGTGTAGTTGCTGGATTTTCTGCATCTCCCTATTCAGATCGCAGCCATTCATGAGGTTCAAAGCACTTTGGAGGAGATGCGTGAGAGAAATTGTCTTCATTTGTCTCTCAGGTGAATACGCAGAGAGATTTTAACCTGGACTGCAAACTCGTGACTTTCACAAGTATTTTGTTGACACTGTCAAATTTTTTCTTAGGAACCAAAAGATGAGGGAAATCTTAAATTAGTGAAGGACTTTAAGGAGGGATGGTGATGAATATATGTGGAATAATGTGAAATGATTCTTTAAAAAATAATAAAATAAAAATTTGTGAAGAAAAACTCAGGGTAGCTGATGTTTTCTGTTCCAAATAAGTCACTTGGGCAGGAGTCTGAATAGTTCTCTATTAGTAATGCTGTCCGTGTCTTTCCTAGAGTAATGGCATTGAGTCATATTACTAGAGGCTGAGTTTAGAAGCTTTTAGGTAGGATTTTTCTTGAAATGCAGTCACTCTCCTTGATTAGAGCCAGAAGTATGTACAAGATTTTGCTAGGCCATCTGGCTAGAAGTGTGTGTGAAATAGTCCTGTGTGTGAGATTGCAGTACTGGTATTTTGCATCCTTTACAAATTGCCAAATAAGTAGTGAAGTTAAACAGACTAAGCTGGCATTTTAAAACTGAGCTTTACTCTCTTCAGGCTGACTTGTGTTTTCTTGTTATTTGACACTGTTCTGTATACATTAAAACTTACTCTTTTTGCATCTTACTGCAACAAAAATGATGTGCACTGCATGTAACTACGAGTAATGAAAAATGTGCGCATTCACCTACCAGTAGAGGCCAGTATACACTACCTCACATCAATCAATAGCTATGGTAGTTCACATGCTAGCTGTGAGTGGAAATAGACTTACCCTTCCTGATGTTTTTACACTAATGAAGCAGCAGCTCTTCTGTCTTGTAAGTGGAAACTTTTACATGTTATCAAGTTCTTCAGTTTGCAGTGGCATTATGTCAGCAGCTGAAAGAAGCTTTGACATAAACATATGGAGAGGAAAAAAAAAGACCAAGCCAACTTTGTGAGGAAAAAAACTGGGGAGAATGACTGTTTTGAATTAACTTCATTTTTATTTTTGTCTGTTGTGTTTTTTTTAAGGTCCAAGTCTCCCTCTAGGGCTTCATTTTACTCTAGAAGTCTGTATACCTACTCCAAGTCAAGATCAGGTTCTTCCAGCTCTCGCTCATACTCTCGATCATTTATTCATTTCCGTTCTCGTTCCTACTCACCATCACCACCGTATCCAAGAAAAGGCAAAGGGAAGAGTTGTAACTATGGTTCCAGGTCAAGGTCACATGGTTATCACTGTTCAAGGTCAAGGTCAAGGTCACCCCCATACAGAAGACACCATGCACGATCAAGGTCTCCAGTATTCAGAGGCCAGTCTCCCACTAAACAGACTATACCTCAAGGAGTAGGAGGAACGGAGCATTTTAACAGATCCAGAGATGTTCCACCATATGATATGAAAGCTTACCATGGCAGATCTGTTGACTTCAGAGATCCATTTGAAAAGGAAAGATACAGAGAATGGGAAAGGAACTATAGAGAATGGTATGAAAACTTTTACAAGGGCTATGCTGTTGGCACTCAACCTCCACCTCCAGTAAACAGAAAGAGCTTGTCACCAGATAGGTTTGGACCACCTGCTAAAAAAAGCAAATCTGCTGACGCAAAACCTGAAAAAAGAAAAAGAAAAGTAGGTGAAATGGTTGATGAAGAACGTGAAGCCACTTCCATAAAGGCCTCTAAAGCAGAAACTACTGAATCAAAAACATCGTCAAAGGGGAAGACTGAGCCTGATGGTGAAAAAGGAGAGAGAACTCCAGAAAAAGATAAATCTGCTATTCTTAACAACCCCACAAAAAAGATTAAACTTCACCAAGAAACTGGCCAAAAGATTGTGAGTGGAGAAAATGTGCCACCTGCAAAAGAACCTGTTGAGAAACCTGAGCCGAGCAGCAGCAAAGTTAAACAAGAAGAAGCAAAGGGGAAAGTAAGAAGAAAAGTAACAACAGCTGATGGATCTAGTTCAGCTCTTGTTGATTACACCAGGTACTTCATCTTTTTTTTTTTCCTGTTCTTTATTTCCTCTGCTGCCCACCTCCCGCCCCCCCCCAAAAAAAAAATAAAATTCTTTATGGTGACTAACATAAAGTCACCGTAACAGTTAAATCCATGCTAAATGTGTGAGTAATTTGTGATCTTTCCTGTTAAAATGTAGTTGGGTCAAAATAAAATTTCGTTAAAGAAAACAAGCAGTCTGTACTGCACAGAAAGCTAATAAGGTTAATTCATTGGTGACATGTTTGACCCTTAATTCTGGGACTTCTTTTCCCCTCTTCTTATTTATTACGTGTTGAGTCTTGGAGGAGTCCCCTCTATGTCTTTCTTCAAATCCAGCTTCCTGCTAAAGGCAAGGATAACAGGCACATATATGCTGTGCAATATTTTGCATTTTAAAAACGGCATGGTACTGTAATGATCTTCTTTGGTCAGTATGACAGGAAATTATAGCTTGCAGAAATAGCAGCTTGGTTGCCAATATACTGTACTGATTTTAGCTTTGAGCACAGTGCCATGTTCAGACAGCTACACTGCTTGCAGCTCAGTACCAAATTTTTTAGCACTTACCTTGGAGATCTCCCTTCTATGTTCCATTATGTGACATGTGAAAAAAAAAAAAAAAAAAAAAAAAAAAGTGATCTAGTGTGGAGCTGTTATTACTTATATTTCAGCCTATAAAGAAGTAGGACAAAGCATACTCAAAACATTTAAGACATTGCTGGGGTCTTAAGGTAGTGTCTTGATAGTCTAAAAAGTTTGGAAAATGTACATTTTTCTAAAGAACACTGGGACATGAGAATAAAACTTTGGTTGTGTACACCTCTCCATAATTGCTTGCTTACATGCTGAAACAAGAATATATCTAATTTACCTACCATTGGTAGGAGAACATGAAGGAATTACCAGATCACTTGGTGACGACACCAAGCTGTGTGGTGCAGTTGACGTGCTAGAGGGAAGGGATGCCATCCATAGGGACCTGGACAGGCTTGAGAGGTGGGCCCAAGCCAACCTCATGAAGTTCAAGTGCAAGGTCCTGCACATGGGTCGAGGCAATCCCAAGCACAAATACAGACTGGGCAGAGAATGGCTTGAGAGTAGCCCTGAGGAGAAGCATTTGGGGGTGTTGGTAGATGAAAAACTGAACATGAGCCGGCAGTGTGTGCTTGCAGCCCAGAAAGCCAACCATGTCCTGGGCTGCAGCAAAAGGAGGGAGGTGATTCTCCCCCTCTACTCTGCTCTCATGAGACCCCACCTAGAATACTGTGTCCATTTCTGGGACCCCCGATGCAAGAATGATGTCGAGCTGTTGGAGCGGGTGCAGAGAAGAGCCACAAAGATGATCAGAGGGCTGGAGCACCTCCCCTGTGAGAACAGGCTGGGAGAGTTGGGGCTGTTCAACCCGGAGAAAAGAAGGCTCGGGGGGGAACTTATAGCGGCCTTCCAGTCCCTGAAGGGGGCCTACAGGAGAGACGGGAGAGACTTTTTACAAGGGCATGCAGTGACAGTATGAGGGGTAATGGATTTAAACTGGAAGAGAGCAGATTTAGACAAGATATTATAAAGAAATTCTTTACTATGAGGATGGTGAGGCAGTGGCCCAGGTTGCCCAGAGAAGCTGTGGATGCCCCATCCCTGGAGGGGTTCAAGGCCAGGCTGGATGAGGCTTTGGGCAACCTGGGCTAGTGGGAGGTGTCTCTGCCCTGGGCTAGTGTGAGGTGTCTCTGCCTATGGCAGGGGGTTTGGAACTGGATGATCTCTAAGGTCCCTTCCAACCCAAACCAGTCTGTGATTCTATGATCAGACAGTCAATCTGATAATCTTGTGTCTTTGTTAATTAAATGTAGAGTAGGAAGACACTAAACTAATTGATTGCTCATGATCTTAGCTTGTGGACTCATCCTTTCTCTCTTCTCTTCCCTAAATTGAACATCTTTTGAAAAAAGACTGAAGATTTAGAATTGAAATAAAAGTCATCTTATGAAATGTTACAAAAGATGGTGGTGTGTGTATCTCACCTGTTACTAATGTACACTTTTTAACTCTTAGCATTAGTTCTGCTGGAGGAAGCCCCGTTAGAAAGACTGAAGAAAAGGCAGATACAAAACGAACTGTCATTAAGACCGTGGAGGAGTATAATAATATAACAGCTCCTGATGAAGACGTCATTATGATGATACAGGTCCCTCAGTCAAAGTGGGATATGGATGACTCTGAGGATGAAGAGGAAGGCATTAAATCTACCCCAGTGCCCACAAATATAGGAAAACCTGTGAGTGTTATCAAAACTGCAAGTGCTAAGCCACCAAACCCTGTAAAACACAATGAAAAAGCAATGGAGCCTTTGGAGGAAACACAGAAAACTACAAAAGAGGCAAGTTATGAAAGCTCCCAGCATGATACAAACAGTTCAAAAAGTTCAATGTCAAATGAAAAAGGGAAAACCAAAGACCAGGATTGTTCTTTGCCAGACAAGGACACTTCTGAGAAGAGAAAGAGCAGTGTTCAACATGAAAAAGATGACTTGGAATGTGCAACTGAACAAGGAAATGGAAAAACTATTTCTCAATCTTCCAAAGACAGCAGATCTTCAGAGAAACATGATACTGGCTGTGGATCCACTGCTAAAGACTTTACTCCTAAGCAAGACAAAAAATCTGACCATGATTGCAACAGAGATCATTCTAGTTCCAAGCCTGGAGATTGAAAGAGTGAATTAGCAAGGCAAAAAGACTCCCCTCCTCGAAACAAAGAATCTACATCAGTACAGAAAAGTAAGCTGAGAGACGAACAACCAGAGCCATACAAAAAGGGTGCTGGAGATGCCAAAAGGAGCAGCTACAGTTCTCTGCGTGCGCAGAAGCAGTCTGATCACAAAGCTGCTCACGACTCCAAGCGTACATTGGAGGAACACAAACCTCTAGATAAAAATGCAGGAAACGAGAAAGAGAAGCATGTACCGGGAATAAAGAGCAATAAAGAGAAAGAGCCAGGTGGTAATAAACCACCTTTGAGACAAGAATCACCAGATGTAAAAAATGAGAAAGAGAGTGCAATTGGACAAAAAATTAAAATAGTTGTCAAGCCTAAGCCTCAGGTAAGCAGCTCCTCAGGGCTCTCTTCTGATCTAACTCAGGAGACTGATGAGGCTGTGCTTGTACCAGACTACAATGAAAGTGACAATGAGAGTAATGTATCTGCTAAAGATGAGGAAGCTGCAGGGAAAAATCCTAAAGAGCCACAAGCAAAGACTGTTGATCAGGTGAAAGGGGATCTAGCAGCACCTGCTGCATCTGAGCAGCCTGCAGCAAGCAGAAGTGAAAGCCAAAGCAGCCCCAGTGTTAGCCACAACCATAGTCAAAGCCCTTCTGAGAGCCAGACTCGAAGGCACAGCAGCAGTGCCAGATCAGGAGAGAGTGAAGACAGCAAGAAAAAGAAAAAAGAGAAGAAGCAGCACAAGAAGGATAAGAAACACAAGAAGCATAAGAAACACATTGGAAAAGAAATGGAATTGGAAAACAGCCAAAAACACAAACACAAGAAGAAGAAATTGAAGAGAAGAGATAAAGAGAAGGACGACCAAAATGTGAATTCTGTCACTAAATAGAACAGATAATTTAAAAATTACTTCATTCCTAAGTCATCTTATTAAATTTTGTTGAAATGCAAACAAATTCAAGCATTGCAAGTAATGACAAGAAAGACCCTGTGCTGCACTTAAAGTGCTGCTGCTTGATTATTTGATTTTTACATCAGAACTTTATAAAAGTGAACATTTTGTACAGAATTGAGTTGTGACCATTGCAACATGAAAGGTTTTACTGGGACATCTTACTTTTAACCACTGTTAAAATTTATTTGGGTGAAGTTCACTGTACTGTGGAAGTTTTCCCAGTTTAATTTTTTTTTTAATTGTCTGGCAGAAGCAGCTGGTATCAGTTATAGATGGTCAACAGCATGATTTGAAGAATACATTACAGCCCTGTTATGTCACTTTTTGATTACAATTAAAAGTTTTCAGTAAACTGACCAATGTTTTCCTGATTTCAGTGATTTCCAGTGATAACTGAACATGAGCAGACCCAAGGCAGACTCCACATCGGCGTTAATGGGATCTGCTGTATTCAGCCAGCATGACTACATTCCAGACAGTATTCCAAAGGTGTTTCTCCCTACTAAGATCACATTCCTTCCACTCCCTCTCCCACCCAGCCCCGCTCCAACTTTCCGCTCCTTTATCATCTCCGGGGTCTGGGGTGAGGAGCACTGCTCCAGCCCCGCAGCCTGTGCTACCACATCAGCCCTCCATGACATGCCCAGCACTGGACAGCCATCCTTCCCAGCACCTCCTTCCCCCTCTGCTCAGTCCATCCTGATTCAGGGGAGCATCCCAAGCCAGCTCAAGGACAACCCTTCACACTTCAAGTCTCACTGGCACGTCCCCATTGTGGTGGATGGAAGCCTTGTTGACAGCCCTGGCTGGGAAACCAGACTGATGCTGGGACAAAGGTGTCCCTCACTGCAGTGCAGGTCTCTGGCAGCTTCTCTCTCACATCCATCACTGGTCCCAGCTCTGTGCGTTATATCCCAAGGGAAACAGCCAATAAAACCAAGGACTTGCTCCTTTTGGCCATGATGTGTTTATTATTTATTCTAAAAAGCATCGTCTCCTGCTGTGCAGTGCCCCTGTTGGTGCTGGTAGGAGGGACACCAGAAGGGGTTCGGCTGAGGTGAGTCCAGAGAAATCCAGGCGTCCAGTGAAGAGGCACCATCAGTGAGAGAGCAGCAGGGACAAGTGGGCAGAGGTGAGGGGTCTGCGCTCATGTTCCTGTACAGCTGGGAGAGCTCTGCCGCAAAGGACCACTCTTTGCTCCGACCCCCGTCTGATGCCGAGGTGCCACCAAGAGCCTGCAGACATCAAGGAGAGCAACGGGGCTGGACCAGGCTGTGAAGTCAGGGCTGCTCCGATCCTGGCCAGGGATCGATCACGCCTGCAGCCCAGGCAAAGCCAGTGGGTCCCAAAACCCAAATATGCCTGCGCATCCTCTCTGCCACCCAAGGGCACTCCCTCCTCCAGGAACTGGCAGGGTGCTGGCCTTTTCATGGCTCATGAGCAATGAGCTCTTCCGCAAGTCCCTCCCGCGCTCTGGGAGCACCAACAGTCACACCCGTCCTCCTGCAGCGATCAGTCTGCAGGCTGAAAATCAATCCCAAGCAGCAATTCCTGCAGCACCATCATCTGCACCTGACTGCCACCATTAGGGAAGGGCAGCCAAGGGGTTTTGGGAAGTTAATCCTGCCTTGAAACTTGGCAGGTCCCCACTAGAGTTGTGATGTCATGGAGGAACCTTGGGGTTCCCCACCAGGACTGTGACATCATACAAGATTCTTGGGCTTCCCAACTGGGGATGTGAAATCATAGAGGACCCCTGGGCTTCCCTGCCAGGGTTGTTATGTTGTAGATGATCTGATACGTTTCCTCACCAGAGGTGTGATTTCATAGAGGAAGCCTGGGCTTTTCTGCTAGGGTTGTGACATCAGAGAGGAGCCTTGGGCTTCTCTGCCAGTGCTGTGAGATGACAGAACACTCTTGGGGTTCCCCACCAGGACTGTGACTGAGGATTCCTGTGTTTCACCACCAGGGCTGTCATATCATAGAATGTCTTTATAGGTTTTCACCCGAGTGCTGATGTCATACAGGACACTTGGGTCCTTCTACTAGGGTTGTGACATCATACAGGACCCTTGGTTTCCCCTGCCAAGTTTGTGATTTCATAGAGAACTCTTCAATATCTCTGCCAGAGTTGTGATGTCATAGAAGACTCTTCATGTTCCCTGCAGGAGGTTGTGACATCACTGAGGACAACTGGGCTTCCGCATCATCAAAGTGATGTCATAGAGAACTCTTGCCCTACTTCCAAAAACTGTGACATCATAAAGGACTCTTGAGCTTCATCATCAGGGTTCTGACATCATAGAGGAGCCACAGGCTTCTCTGCCAGCTTTGTGACATCACAGAGGACTCTTGGACTTCCCTCCCAGGGTTGTGATGCTATAGTGAACCTTTGGCATCCCACCGGGGTTCTCATGTCATAGAGGATCTGATGGCTTTCCTCGTAACAGTTGTAATTTCATGGAAGAGTCCTTGCGTCCCCACCAGTTTTGTGACATCATAGAGGACCCTTGGGGTTCCCCAGCACAACTGACACATCATAGAGGACTCTTGAGATTCCCTGCCTGGACTGTGATTTCATAGAGAACGTTCGGGCTTCTTCTGCAGGTTTGTGACATCATCCTGATAGAAGTCCTCACCACAGTGTTGATATCATAGAGGACAATCATGATTGTGACATCATAGATGACACTTGGATTTCCCCACCAGTATTGTGACATTATAGAGGACTATTTCACTTCGCCACCGTGTTTGTGACATCATAGATGACACTTGGGGTTCCCCAGCAGTACTGTGACATGATAGGGGACTATTTCACTTTTCCACCAGGGTTGTGATGTCATAGAGGACCCCTGGGCTTCCCCATAAGGGTTGTGACATCATAGAGGATCCTTGGGGTTCCCCAATAGGATTGTGATGTCATAGAGGATCTGATGTGTTTCCCCAGAATTATTGTGATGCTGTACAGGACCCCTGGGCTTTTCCACCAAGGTCATGACATCACAGAGGACCTCTGGGCTTCCCTATGAAGATTCTAGTGGTTTAGAGAATTCTTAGGCTTCCTCATCAGGCTTGTGATATCACAGAAGACCCTTCGGATTACTCACAAGGGTTGTGATAGCATAGAGGAGTCTTGGGCTCTCCCACCTAGGCTGTCACATCATAGAACGTAATTGGCCTTCTACTCCAGTGTTGTGACATCATTGACATCCCTTGGGCTTCCCTGCCAGGTTTGTGACATCCTGAAAGTCTCTTCAGCTTCACTGTCAGTGTTGTGACATCAGGGAACACCCTTGGGGTTCCCCATCAGCACTGTGATGTCACAGAGGATAGGAGAGGATTCCCTGCCAGGCTTGTGACATCATGGAGGACACTTGGGCTTGTCTATTAGTGTTGTAACATCAAAGAGGTAACTTGACATTCTCCGCCAGAGTTGTGATGTTATAGAGAACTCTTGGACCTCTGCCCCATGGCTGTGATGTCATAGAAGACTCTTTGTGTTCCCTGGAAAAGGTTGTGACATCATACAGGACTCTTGACCTTCCCCACCAGGCTTCTGACCTCACAGAGGAGCCGCAGGCTTCTCTGCCAGCTCTGTGACATCATAGAGGACTCCTGGAGTTCCCTGCCAGGGTTGTGATGTCATACTGAACCCTTGGCATCCCACTGGGGTTCTCATGTCATAGAGGATCTGATGGGTTTCCTCATAACAGTTATGATTTCATGGAAGAGTCCTGGCATCCCCACCAGTGTTGTGACATCATAGAGGACCCTTGGGCTTCCCCACCAGGATTGACATGCCATAGAGGACTCTTGGGGATCCCTGCCTGGATTGTGATTTCACAGAGAACATTTGGGCTTCTTCTGCAGGTTTGTGACATCATAGTGATCCTGATAGGTTTCCTCACCACAGTGTTGATATCATAGAGGACACTTGGTCGCCTTTGCAGTCGTTGTGACAGCAGAGATGGCCTTTGGCCTTCCCCACCGTGGCTGTGACATCATAGAGGACCCCTGGGCTTACCCACCAAGGCTGTGAAATCATAGAGGCCCCTTGGGGTTTGCCACCAGGATTGTGATGTCATAGAGGATCCTTGGGATGCCCAACAGGATTGTGGTGTCATAGAGGATCTGATGTGTTTCCCCAGAATGACTGTGATGCTGTACAGGACCTTTGGGTTTCCCCACTAGGGTTCTGACATCATGGAGGACCCTTGGGCTTCTCTGCCAGGGTCATGATATCACAGAGCACCCCTGGGCTTCCCTACCAAGATTCTGACGGTTTAGAGAACACTTATGCTTCCTCACCAGAGTTGTAAAATCATGGACATGATGTTATGTTATGTTAACATCATGGAGAGAGTGTTGGATATCCGCACCAAATTTTAGTAAATCTAAGCAAATTTTAAGCAAATGTTAGAAATCTAAGCAGATTTTAGCAAATATAAGCAGATCTAAGCAAATTAAAGAAATTCTTAGCAAATTTAAACATTTTTTGGCAAATTTTAGGAAGTCTAAGCAAATGTAAGACAATTGAAGCAGATTTTAGAAACTTTTAGCATAATTAAGCAAATCTTAGACAATCTAAGCAAATTTTATCAAAATTTTAAGGAAATATTAGTGAATCTAAGCAAATTTAAGCAAATCTAAGCAAAGTTTAGCACTGCAATGTCTCAGCGTTAAACTCTACTGTAAGAAATAATGAAACACATTAAAAAGTCTTCCTGTTGCAACTACAATTTGGCTCAGAACACAGGACAAGAAAAATTCACCTGGGGATTTTTTTTTGCCCGCTACCAGCTTTTCCCCTTGACCCTAATTTGTTGCTAAGCTATGAACTGGTGAAAACATGTATCTTCCACAAATTGGAATGCCAGGGACTGAAAGTTAAGCCATCTAATTTTGAGCAGATTTTCTTCCACTAGCCAGAGATG